TTTGCTGTGCTTCACTTAATAGGAATATGATATTCAGGAACTGTTCTCAGTTGAAAGATAAAAATATATTATATTGCTGGATACTGTCCTTTCCTGTGCTTTACTTAATAAGGATATTTGGATCCACTTTGATGTAAAACAAATTGATGTGTTACTTTAATACTTTGGTTACTTTGTTATGACTTCATTGGAATTCTTATAAACTGATAAATGTTCTAATATATTTCAGAAACTATAGCTTCATCAATGGTTTCCATATTGTTGTCAGTGTCAAGAATATTTACAAGTTTTAATCTCCGCTTATTTTTCCTTGCAAAATTATCAATAACGTTTTCAATATCTACCTTTTTATCCCGGTGAGTGTATGTTGTTGCTAGGCCATTCAGTCGTTCTAAGGTCATTCTACTTCTTAGATATGTTTTGAGCAGTCTAACAGAGGAAGCAGACCGTTCACAAGTGCATGATGTTACTGGCAAAACAGCCAGTATTTTGAGACAGGCGTATATTTTTGGAAATGAAATCTTATTGGTCATCTTCAAAGTGTCCGAAATATTTTTAGGCAGCTGGTCATCAGGAACATCTATCCAGGCAGATTCCCAGTTGTCTACCTCGTGGGAGATGAAGGATATGTCAGGCAAATCATTGGCATATTGATTGCAAAACGTCTCAAAATTTTTTTTTCACAGCTTATCACAGCGTTGGATTGTGGCTGCTTTCTGTTCAATGTTAGTTTTGCTTGCTGGTGCTTTCTTAGTTAGTGCTGGCTGCCCCACTTTCCTAACATCAGATAACGATACATCAGTGATAGAAGAAGCATATGTTCCATTGTTTACGTCTTCCATACCACTTTCTAAGGTTTCCTTCCAGTTTCGCTTTTGGCCACTTTTGTTGTTGTATTCTGCTCGGAGCATCCCAGGGACTATGGAAATTCCTTTTATTGCAATGCGATTTTGGGGAGAAAATCTTTTAGACAGCTCTTGAAGAAGATGGTCCAAAAACGGAATTGCGATATTAATTTTAAAATAAGATTCCACATCATTACTTGGAGCATTGGTTCTGTAAACTTGCCTTTTACAACTACGTGGCGCGACAACACTGGCATTCATTCTTTCTGCAATTTTCAAAGCATCATTAAACCAAGAGGAATGGTAAGCATCAATACAATCTCGAACAGTTCTTAAGGTCTTCATAGTTATGTCAACTTGCTTCAACCCTTCAATGAAATCAAGATGAGAACTTTGCAGCTGAATGGTTGCTGAACGTGTATAGCACAGGAGCATTCTAGCAATAATCAGCGTCATGATAAATTCAAAACTTTGTAGTGCAAAGAAATAGGTGAAGGCATCAGCAGAGCAATCGTCCCAATTTCCGTCTACGTTGTCACGAATGGTTCGCATAGCTTCTGATATTGGGATGTACATATCCATAAATCTTTCCAAAGCATCGATGCGAAGAATCCATCTTGTCTCGCAAGGATTTATAAGCTTTGTATGTGAATAGTTCTTTAAATGCTTTTTTACCATCAGTTCCAATAGAAGTTGTCGTTTTGGAGTATGAAGAAAGTGAGCGATTTTCCGAACAAATTCCATCATATTTTTAATACACTGCAGTTTGCATGAAGCAGCAACAGCAAGATTTAGCCTGTGTGAAGCACAATGCGTAAAAAGAGCTTGGTCATTAATCTCAAGGATTCGAGATGCAACACCAGAGTACTTTCCAGCCATATTACCAGCACCATCATAGCACTGTCCCCTGCAATCCATGATATCCAAATTCAAATCATTTGTAATACAATTCAAAATCTTTGTTTTCAGAGCATCTCCATCTTTGTTCCAGTGTCGCAAGTTATATACTTCATGAATCGTTCCTTCATATCTCCATTCCCATCAACATTACGTAGGACCAAAGGCATCTGTTGCTGATTAGAACAATCAGTGACTTCATCTGCTAAAATTGAATAAGGACCACATTCCTTGATTTCCTTTATTATTTGGTGGTTCACATCTTCTGCAATACAAGAAATAAGTTCATTTTGCACAGTCTTTGATCTGAATGTTGCATTTCGGGGAGCCGTCTTGAAATGTTCTGCCAAGATCCTATCACCACTTTCAACGCGAAAATCTAGAAGTGCTTGAAAATTGCCACAATCACTTGTATCGTAGTATTGTGAATCATCTCTGTGACCACGTAAAGGAATATTTTGTCTTGCAAATAGAAGAACACATTTGGCAATAGATCTATCTTCAACCTATTTTGCTGCACAGCTTTGTCTAAAGATTCATTTTGAATAAGATCTATGAATTTCTCTTTGCTTTCCATGACATTTTTAAACCTGTTCATCGTTTCGAGTGCAGTTTTATGAATTTCTGACTTATTTTGATGCTCTTTAATTCTATAATGCAGAAGACCAATCTGTCAAAGGGCTTTTCATCAACTTATCCAGTTTAGATGCATTTTGACCAGTTTTTCTCCCAAACAGAACACATGGTAGACAAAAAGTACCATCTAATAGCTTCGAGTATGCAAGCCAAGGGTAATTTATGAGCCAAGAATATACAAATTTCCTGCTTTTTCCATGAATTTGTCTGCTTGGAAATCCAAATTTTGGATCTGGCTTCCTAACATTAAGCATCTTTTCATATCTCTCCATATCTGTCATACTAGCAGTATTCAGGTACAAAAATCCAATGTCTGTCACATTGGCAATCAGATTTTGAAGATTTGATGCTGATGAAAGTTGGTTTGGTTCTACAGTTTCATTCTCTCTTGGATTCACTGATTCCAAAGGCATCTTAATTGAAACCTTTTTGGGAAAAGAAATCTTGGCTTGCTTTTCTGGCTGCTTCCATTTTGGGCACTGTTCGTTTTTAGGAACAATAGTGGATATTACAGGTTGTAAAGAGCCCTTCTCTGCCAGGAAAAGTGGAACAATATGGTTTGCTTTGAAGGATGGATTAAGGTCATTTTTACCACCACCTGCTTTGGACCAAAGTAGTCGGATTGGTTTCAATATTTTGACCAGTATCATGGAAACATTTTTGCGTTGCTTAAATTTATAGCATACCTTCTACCACAAGTTTCTGGATAAAAGGAAAATATAGGCAGACCAAGAACACTAGATAATGCCATGATGCAAATAAATGGGCTCCACCTCCTATCCTGACAGTTTTTGAGTGCCTCATGTTTAACACAATCAGCATAATTTTACAAAAACCTGTAAGCAAATCACTTGCTTCATGGGAAATTGAATGAGAAAAGAAAGTTTCCAAGAGGGCAGAAAATCTTTCAGAGGCAAGAAGTGTTGCAAAATGGGATGAGAGGCATAGAATTCAGAATAGAGGTAAAGTTCAGCAGATGTTAATGCTCTCAGTAGATGAGACATGTCTTCTTTTCCACTGATAGCCAAAGAACCGGCATTGTACATGCAGTTTCCATCCTCCTTGACCCTAAACAACAGTTTAGCTTAAATTACACCCAAATTGAAACTTCATCAAATTTAAACAACCAGGAAGCCAAAATGAAATTTGCTACTAGAACCTAGTAAAAATAACATTAAATGGCTTATGTCATATAGTATAACTAACAATGCCATTTGTTTTTTGAATGCATGTAAGGTTAAGATAAAACTGCAACTTTTTTACCTTTTTAAAATTTGACTTAATCTGACCTTCAATGTGGTCAATGGCTTGTGCTGCAGTTTCCTGAATGGGGACCAGGGTGCATCCCATGCAGTAAATTTTAAAGGTCTTTGGAGTGAAGTTAAGTTGTTTGGTATGGCATTTGTGTGAGATAAGCATCTTTTGGCATATGGTGCACACTGGAATTTTGGTGAAATTGTACCTGTGGGGCAGGGAGCTTTTTCTGTTAATTTTTTATGAACTCTAATACTGATTTTGTCACCATGGGTTGTAAACTATTGAAAATATAATTTCTTAGACAGGCTGAAACAATATGATGCCTACCATGTGATACCAATGCACTAGCATACCTCTTCTGAACCAAACTCAAATTGGGGGTGGGTTGGCTGCCTGTTGTATTGCTTTCCATTCAGTACACTATTATAAAGGAAATCTGGCACAGTTTAACAATTATTGGGGGCTCAAGCACCCCTGCTTCTGACGGTCTTGCTCTAGTACACTAGATCCTGACCCGAACCATACCAGCATGAGTGGATATGTCTGTGACCGTCATAAAGATAATAACTTGTCTTAGAATTATGATGGGGTGGGGCTGTTGGCGAAGTCTTTTGGTTAGATTTTTATGGCAGTGGACCTTGGCATACACCTGGCCTAGCCTTGGTGTACCTTTGGCGTAAGGTTTACAAGGAATGCACCCTGGAATAGGGATCTTATTATCAAAACAAAGCTTTCAAAACTTGTTGAAAAAATTAAGGGCCCCACAAGATGAGAATGGACCCTCAGCCATTTGAGCAGCAAACTCAATCATGCATTTGTTGTTGCTGCTGTCTAAACTTAAATTTCCCGCCGAAAAGCGTTAGGATGGCAAAAATATTATCTAGCTAAGATCTACCACTACCAGCATTACCTACTTGCCAAGGTTGCTAATTTGCCAAGGTTTTACAACAATTTCAAAATTAAAACCATACCTTCCTGCGTAAGCAGTTATTTCTCCTGCTATATCCAGTCTGTTCCAAGGGATAAAATGTTGTGCTGCATAGTCCCTCGGAAGGCCAAGAGCAGTAGATACAGAGATAGATGTTTGCTTCCCAAATGACCTGATATTATCAGCGTAAATGCTATGAAGTCTCTCTGTGTCATTGGAGACAATTAGCGACTCAACTAACTTTAAAATATCCATGTTGTATCCGGAACGTAGCTAATTCCTCAGACACAAATACGAAAACCTCTGCCAAGCATTTGCTGTACTGAGATGCAGAAATGCTGGGCAGGAGGGTATTGTCTTGGCTTGGCTGCAAATGATTGGTAAGTCAGTGGAAGTCAGTGGAAGTCAGTCTTAAAATCCATACGTTGTCCGGACCCCAAAAAAATTCTCATACTAACTCCTGTAAAAATAATTGGCCTTATTGATCATACATCGCCTCTACTGACTTACGGGAACAATGCATTTTTGCCTGGTGCAGAAAAGCTTTGTTAAAAGATGACCACGCAGATTCCTAATTTATTCGACTGACTTACCAATCATTTTGCGAGTTTTGCCTCTAGCATCTTTGTTTTAGTTATTTATGCATTGAGCTTCAGTGTATGTTGATAGGAGAATTCACTGATGGATCGTTTTTCTACCATTCTCATGCCTCATTCCTGATATTATGTCTGATAGATCTGATGATTTGAGATGAATTGATGGAGAATATGAAGATGGATCAACACCGCATAATTTCCTCTTGTTAAACAAATATTTTTGCCGTTCTGGGACATGAGAGAATGGGTTTTGGGGGTAATAGTCTATCATTTTTGCCGCATCAAAAATTATTTTGAGTAACAAATTTTGACTGACTTCCGTAAGTCGAGTAAGTCAGTCTGGATCCGCCCCTGGGATAGAGTTTGGCGTCGGGAAATCAAGACGGTGGTTACCAGTTCACTCGTATGTACATGCTTTGGGATAAGATGTTTGCAAAGGCCTTCCATTTTGGTATGCATTCACTGGCTGTGACACTGTGTCGTCATTTTCTGGAAAAGAAAAGAAAATAGCTTGGAACACCTGGAAAGCTTTTCCTGAGGCCACGGATACCTTTTCAAGGTAAGTTTTTTAAGTGTCTTTGAGTAACTAAATTTTCTTTTTGATAGTATAGTTTCTAGCTTTTTGTCACAGAGATACAAGAGAACTTCAGAGCAAAGAACATTCTTCTGGGATTGCTGAATAAACTCTATTTTAAAGATTTATCTACAGATTTATTGTATCTAGAGAAGTGCATTTTTTTGCTATTTAAATTTATCCCATTTTTCAGATTGTCGAATGGTGAGAATGGCCAACCTAGGGATATTGATGTTAAGATGGTAGAGCGTTTCGTGGTATTGATGTACCAAAGAACGTTTTAACTCAGCGACGTAAACGAGTGTCGCCGACATTTGTTCACCAAGAAGGGTTGCCCAAGTGAAAGTTTGCCACCAACAAGTGATGCACTTCTTCAACATACAAGACGGGCTATTTTTCAAGCTGGGTAAGTATTGAAAAACTATTCACGTTGATGTTTGCAGAAGCATGTATTGGTAACATTGGGCGACCTGCCTTCTTGAAGGCGAAAAATCTTTGGATAGTAGACCAATTCTTTAAGGTTCTTGAAGCTCCTATTTGCTGTCACTTCATCAAACATTTCTTTGGCTCTGTTTCTTAACAAAACTTACTTCATACAAACTCAATAGTCATTGTAAAAACCAACTTTCATTGTTCGACCCCAACACCAAATTCAGACTCGATATGCTTCCAAGTATTCTGGAAGGGAATGGCACTAAGATTTTGCTCTTTCCTTAAAGGTTTGTCTGGTGTCAATCAAAGGTGAAAACGCAGCATCTACCTCCAATTGTAGTATGGGGTTGGAATGAAAATGTGTCACCTTTATGGATGGTTGTCCCGGAAGCCTCAAAAGCATGCCAGGAGCTAATCAAATGTGGATGTAGGCAGAAATGTTCGACACGATGTAAATGCAGACAGTTTGGTTTGGAATGCACGGAATTGTGCATGTGCAATGGGCAGTGCCTCGAAGAATTAGACATTTAAACTTTCAATTTGAACTAATTTTCCTTTGACAATGAAATTTTCGCGCTTGATGAACAATTAATCGTTAGTAGAGGTCTGGATCCAAGTACCTCTTTCTAAAAATAGACTGCGGGCCTAATATGAAAGTTGAGAAATTGCTTTCATCGTTATGAGGATCTTAATCTCTGTGATATTAGTAATTTTAGTATTTCGCTCCCGGGTAATACAGAAAAATGATCAGCACCTTTCCTGGAGGTCTGAGACCAAGAACCCCATCTAAAAATAGAATATGGGGGCAATTCATTTTGAAATAACAATATTATTGCATTTTCATGCCTGATTATACACTTATACAACTCTGTATGCTTTTAATATGGAAGTGTGGTGTAAAATTGGTAGAATTAGTTGAGGAGGACTGGGTCCGAGTATCATCATCTAAAAATAGCTTTTTGGGATACTTTACAGGTAGGGTCCCGATTTCATCGTTTTCAGCATGTCAAAATCTATAGGTATGCCAATTTTCATGCTTTCTTCACTAAATGCACGATTGTTATGAAATCTGCCACTGGTTGCCCTCACTATTAACTTTGAATACCCACTTGCTCCCAACAATATTCTTTCCTTTTTGAATTGGAACTAAGTCCCATGTTTTGTTTTTGATAAATGATGAGTATTCTGCATCAGTAGCTTCTTTCCATTCACTAGCATGTTCTCCAGTCCCTGCATCCTGGATCTTTCTTGGCAGAGGCGGCGGACAGTGCTATTTATGCTATTTCATTAATAGCAATTTTTTTCCAAAGAAATGTTCTGCTTTTGTATTAGACAAATTAATGTAACATAAATTATACGAGTAAAATCTTTTCTGGATCTTGATTTCCTTATCCAGTTCCTTCATTCCATGATTTATTTGACCCCTCTGTGCTTTTTGATATTGCGATTGCCCGACTTAATCTATTCAAAGAATGCCGCGTGTATACCTTTCTGATCCACGCTGTGGCCGTCGATGGCCATGCTATTACTTGGCCCTTCTGAATAGCAAACGGAGGAAACTAATAGGAGTTGCGCCATAGTGTGGCTATGGTGTGACGCAACGGGCTATTGTGAAATACGCATATCTGACAGCCTTGCTATTAAATTCTTGGAATGAATAGCAAGAGCTCACACGCGATCACGCATACAAATCGTCAGTTCGATAAACGTTGGGAAGAGAGTAGAGACCTTTTCAGATACAAAATGAATCAAGTAGCGTCAGGTGGTGTACGATGGGGTGTTTCAACTGTCTTTTCCCTCATATCTATGCAAGGAGGTAAATTAACTCATGAACAGCGCCTTCGTCTTAAAAAAGACGGACGCCCATGCCCCGATGTTAAAGTTAAAAGTCGTTCGTGTGAAGCTGTGTATAGAGGTTTTTCTTGGATATGTGGTGATTCAGAGAAGAATACATATTTCTGCTGGCCATGTTTAGTCATGGGAGATCATTTGAAGGTAAGAAGATTACTATTTTCTATTTACTATTTTCTCCCGTCGGAAAGTCTCGTTTATAGCGGCTTTGCTATTACAAATTGAAGATGAATAGCAGGGCTTTTAACGAGCGGCGGAGAGCCGCGGTAGTCTAAACAGCCCTGCATATGTAGCCACCTTTTACAAACGCAAGGAATTGTGGCATTTTCATGAACACACTTATTCACAAGACACCGATTGATCAGATGTCCCTGTCATAGTCCCTACAAGAAGCCATTTTAGTATTACTTATGCTCAAGTTTACGAAACTGACCATCTATAACTTAATGTTTAGGTTTAGGCATAGTTAACTATCGTTTAGGCGTTTAGGTAAAGACTACATTTGCTGTAATTGTTTCCATTACTACCAAGATACCAAGGGGTGTATCACTTTTCCCAAAAGGCGTCCGAGATTTTTTAAAACATTAGTATTTTTGCCAAAGGTGTACGAAGGTGATACGCTCCTCGATTTCTACAAACAACTATTTGAAATTAAGAGCAGTTTGATGCTAAAATCGAGCTAAATATAAAAAACAAGGTTGCAACTCCACTGTAACTTTTATAAAAATGTGGGTGATAATAGAAGAATTTTTATCAATTTATTCACATAATTTATTTCAGATGAAGGCTTGCTTCGTGCAACCAACTGGATTTGCATCTGATGGCAGGAATTTGTCGAATGTTGCTAACAGGCACCAAGAATCAAAAAGTCACATGACATGTCACGCTTCGTACAAGCTTTTAGGGAATGTGGATGTGGCCAGTGCACTTGATGAAGCAAGACAGAGAGAAATTCTGAGACATAATGAAAATGCATCAAGATATTCAAAGATGATGAAGCACCATATTGATGTTGCAGTCTACTTGTCTGCCCAAGGACTCGCTTTCCGGGGGCATTCTGAAGACAAATTCTCTCCAAACAGGGGAAATTTCATTGAATTGATGGACTTGTTAGGGAACTACAGTCAAGAGTTGCGAGTTTTCCTAGACAAGGAACGGATAAGTTACACCTCCCACGACCCACAAAACGAATTGATCAAATGCATTTTCCAAGAAGTCCAGAATGAAATTCGAAATCGAGTAAGTGCTTCCAGATGTTTATCCGTAATGATGGATGACACCAGTGACTTGAGCAACACGGAGCAGTCGGCTGTTTCAGTGAGACTTATTCATGATGGGAATGTCGAAGAACATTTGCTTGGCCTCACAGATGCATCTGACGATCAATCTGCTGATGGGCTTACAAAGATCATGATAAAAATATTAGGGAGCTACAATGTTACTCCTGAGACAGGAAAGAGAAAGCTGATTGGACAATCATATGATGGTGCGGCGACAATGAGTGGCGAGCTCAATGGTGTGCAAAAGAGAATGCGAGATTACTTTCCACTTGCCTACTACAACCATTGCGTTGCACACAGGATGTCACTTTGTGCGTCGCAGTCATCGATGAAAATCCCAGAAGTGGCTAAATTCTTTGGAATATTAGACAAGCTGATAACGTTTTTCCGAAGCAGTCCCAAGCGAACGCGATACCTTGGATATAATCTTCCAAAGCCTGGTGATACAAGGTGGCTTTCTCGAGACACGGCCAT